GCTACACAAAGGCTTATACAAAAAGTTCATGTGAAAGAGATGGAATAGCATGTACGAAGGATTTCACAAAAAGTATACGTAGAAACGGCACAAAAACTTATACAGTATGAATGGGTAGATTTAAGATAATTACAAGTAAATGGGGCCTGTGTGGCGCAGTGGTTGGAGGCGTCCTGCAATACCCACGTGGAACCGGTCTCCACGCCCATGGCACACCAAGCCTCCCATTACTCCGAGATCGGCCAATTGGTACCAGACTTATCTGGGAGGATAACAGCACTGACTCGATACATCGGTAGGCGAGAAGGGCGAGACACCGTGAGTCATTGTAAAGGCCGGATATGCATTCATTCACCTCCAAACAATGCTTAATGACGTCGAATGGCATGGTGTATCCCTCAGGGATTGGTTAACGCCAAGAGCTTTATCTTTTTTTTTCACAGGCAGATGGTTAGTGTAGGAAACATGCGCTATTATAGAGAATAGCAACTGTTTGGGGAATAGTCACTGTACATGACATGCTCTTATCGAATTGGCCAAAACCGATCTATTAAACGTTTCGTGAACAATAAAATGACCTTTTACCTATTTTCGTTGTCTTCGCACACTACTGTTCTTCCAAACTATCCTTTTTAGCGAGTGGCGACGGTGTTCAGAAATCCTGAAGAGGCATCGCAACTGATACTGGAAGACGTAATACGTAATGTTCGTGCATTTCCATTAATCGTCCTTTAAGAAAGCATAGAAATTGGACAAAAAGGAGTCAAAACATTATTCAGTGATAAGCTACTCGAGAATAAGGAACGAAAGAATAAGGAGGCGCAGAACAGGTTTTAAAAACAATTTTATGAGAACTCAATGCTTTTAGAGGTGAAATAAAACCATCGAAATCATTCAAAGAGAAATGACAGTGCTACTTTTGAGGATTCCTTCGCTACCGCTATTCTTCACAATATTTGGGAAAGTCCTGATGCCAGTAGCCCGCCGTCGTAATATTGACGCTGACGCTCAATCAATAAAATGAAAGTAATTAAGATCGTGAAGCTAAATTAAGAAAACTACGGTGATGCTGAGATATTTGCCAAGCTCCGAATCGCAGGTGTCTACGGTGGAGAACGAACGCGCTATTGCTCTTTCCATGGACTAACGCGTTCACCACCACACTATGCTGGTCCATCGTTTCGCCTGTCTCTCAGCTAGTTCTATCGATCAGATCGACCACTTGCAAGTTCACCTAATAGTTAATCCTCCGTTGGAATTTGCTTCATTCGTGGAAGAAAACTACTCAGAAAGTAAACTTTCCTTCTACCCAAAGTTGTAGACAAACGCCTGTTAGGAACGACATGCCCGCTCGTCAGTGCGACCTCTTCACAACTCACGACCCGGATGGTGTAGTGGTGAAGTGCGCTGCTCCCCGGTAAGGACAACAGCGCGTGTTCGTTCCCCACTGCATACACCTGTGGTCCGGAGTTTTGCAAATATCTCAGCACTTCATACGAGTTATATTTCACAATATACCCTGCCATTAAGAAGAAAAAGGCAGTAAATAAAAGAGTTAAGACTCCTTTTTATCCCTAGAGTATCAGAACAAGACCGTTCTGCTAGACCGCTCAGTTCGTCATAAAAATGGGTTATTTAGGTGCATAAATATGCAGCAGGCAGTAGAAAAATGTGTTTGTACTGCCTAAATTATTTACCTATTGCTGTATATCCCTGTTAATAAACTTTGTAAGCTTCTTTAGCTTAAGTATTTCAGCATTATATTATAGCCGTTGTTTTTTGCTGCATTGTCATATCGTTCATCTCATTCGTGTCATGCATTATGGCCTTCTTTTTTAGCGGCATCTGTGGCAGTAAAGTGGGCATTCTTACATATTTTACGACTTTTTTCACCTTGTTTTTCACTTTAAACATTCTTTAGAAAAATGAAATGATTTTGGGATTGAAAACGTGTGCCATCGGCCATGTCCCCATAGCCAAAATCTGTTCCGTTTGTTTTGAACTTGTGGGTTCCCAGCTGATTCAGATCACTGACACCGAATTGTCGTCCTTGTGGAGACTGATTTTCGACCGTGGTCACACTTGAATTTTCAGTAGACGCCTAAAAAATCTACTTAATCTTCAAATCGCTGTCCTTTTAAAAAATCACAGCTCCAGCAGGGCAGAAAAGCACTAGTAGAAGTTTCTGGAGTGTTTGGCTTGGTCGAATAACCCTTATGCAGTGTTAAGCGAAGTGTAAGGAGTGCAAATCTACTTGACACTTACATAAAAATTTTCACATTTTTAACAGAGTACTGCCTTCTTCTTGATGAAATAACAAATTCGTTACAGTTACTTCGCAGTTACTCCCATTTCGGTAGATTTAATCCCTTTCTGGCTCTCGAAAGATTCTATTCTACAAGCAGAGAAACTACTCTGTAGAACACATGTATAACGTAGTTCAAAAAAATCTAATCCCAGTTTCCAATCAAATTGTGTGAACATCAACCGTATTACTCGTGCGCGGAAGCTCAGTGGTTAGAGATGTTGCGCAAGCATCCCTCCTATCCACAAGCGCAACGACCGTTTGTGGTGACGATGACCTGGAAACGTTCTAGTGGAGCAATCCCATGTTTCCAGGAAGAATCATCCCGGCTAGCGTCCATCATACATGAAGAATGCAAAGCCTTAAATTGGGAAAGCCGAGTCTATGCACCAACTCAAAGAGCTTCTGGATGAAAAGCGAAAGAAGAAAGTCTTGGAACTCAAACAGTATATTAATGCAGGTCATAAAGGGTAAAGGATAAAGCTTTCAGCGTTGATCATCCCTGAGAGACGAGACATGCGTTCGACTTCATTAAGCACCGTTTAGAGGTGATTAGAAGGGATGCACATGTGGCCTTTACAATGACTCGCGGTGGCCTATCGGTGTATGCAGCCAGTGCTGCTATCCCCCAGACAAGCCTGGTACCAATTAACCTACCCCGGATGGAATGGAAGGCCCGCTGGACTATGGGCGCGGGATCCATTCCGCGTGCGTATTGCAGAGCGCCTCCGAACACTTCGTCACATGCGTCCTTTGCAGGTCATATAAGCAGAAAAAAAACTTGAGCAATCTTCTCACTTGTCTACTTAGGCGTGGCACAGTCTCGTTTTATGTGAATAATTCTATGCCAACTTCCAAAGAATGAAACATCCAAGTCTTCAAAACTATTCGAGAGATTTAGAAATATCTACGATTGAGCCGCGGTTGGTATCCCTTTTTACTGTCGATAATATTTTTCGACTTTTTAGAAAATGCCTGGAACTGGGACAATCACGTGTGCGATTATATCGTTTGTCTTCTGCCTAATGATGGCGTCAATTGGTACTTATCTATTCGCGAGTAGTATCGGAAATATTAAAAATGGTTTAGTAATACTACCAAGTCAGCTGAACAGATCATCAACTGGTAAGGCGAAGTCTAAATAGTAAGTTTGATTGTGAAAGAAACACAAAAAAACTAGAATTCAGCATTAAATAAAGGATAAAGCTCTCGGCGTTGATCAATCCCTGAGGGATGCGCCATGCATTCGACTTCATTAAGCACCGTTTGGAGATGACTGAATGCATATCTGGCCCTTACAATAACTCGCGATGGCCTTCCGATGTATCGAGCCAGTGCTGCTATCCTCCCAGACAAGTCTGGTACCAATTTGGCGACCCTGAAGGGTTGGAAGACTTAGTGAGCCATGGGTGCGAGGATCGATCTTATCTGTGTGTCACAGGGCTTCTCCGATCACTGCACCACACGTGCCCTTCGAATTCACCATAATACCATGAAATCGAAGGTAATCAGTCAACAATTTGTTTGATGATATGAGGTCTTCCAGCATCAATGGTTCTTCAAACGCGGTTTGAAGAATCTGAGCTGGGATTCACTTCTTTTTGTTTACAATTCGATGAAGCACTAGTCATTTGTTAACCGTTCTTCTGCAGACATCAGCAGTTTTTTGGCTGAGTTCACCATAAATCTTCACTGTAATTTTAACAACGGAGAGAAGACATTACGGCAAGATGTGGCACAGTTTATGTCAAACATTAGGAATCTGGTGACCATTCTTTTGGAGAGGATTGATTCAGAAAGAATTACTCAAGTAATATTTATGAGAAGTTCCAGTTTTCCATCAATGATTTTCATGGAAATAAAACTATAGGCTGAGCTCGTTGCCTTTCTTTCAGATCTTTTTGCTAGAAGAGCGTTGTCTGCGCCATCTTAACATCATGAATGCTTTACTATCAACCAGCGCAACATCATCTTCTGCGTCCAGTTCTCTCTACAGCATCACGAATACTCTAGTAAGTTTTCGAACTTCATTAAGGAATGAGCTGGTTTGCCATAACAAGGGACTGTTCTTGCCGCCGGGCCGTGTCCTATATAGGAGGGTTAAAAGGACAGTGCGCTCGGCATTAATAAAATTTTATACGAATCCACCACACAAGCTATTGACTTCACAAAGCTCTGTAGAGGTGCTCGAATGCCTGTTTAGTATTTCCAGTGACTTTTGGAAGACTACCGATATATTAAGTCGGCGATTTTATGTTGCCAGATATGTTTCATATAAGCACATCAATCTCGAGAGTACAGAAAGGTTTGGTTGCCACGAAGGGAGGTTGGGTGCCGTCGAAGCATTTACTCCGTGTGCATTGCAACGCATCTCTATGCACTGCGCCACTCGCGCTTCATCTTACTACAGATGGCGGGAGTATTCTTGGCATTTAGTGTTACCTAAGCTACTGAGAAAAAACTGTTTAAAACTCATTGGTATAGAGTTGATATTGTTATCACCATAGATCAACCATCCCCATCCTTCTACAGCATTCAAATTCACTTCTATCTATGTTTAATCATGGATTCATTGCCATTATCAAGCGGGGGCAGGACCGTCCCTTAAACGTTTTCACGAATTTTCATCTGTTTTTTTCCCTTGTTATTTTTGCATTTCACCTCATTTTATGCAAACATAATATTGAATTTGTAGATGAAAGCGATAGATTTGAAACCAATGCACACTTCGTTGGAAGATACTCGCGAGGAACTGATTCTACTTGAAAGCGATGTATGTGAATACTCAAGCGCTTCCATGAATTGTTAATTCATTTTGCCAAAGGAAATCTGCTTTTAGATTAACGCATCAGTGAATCAGATGGTTCTTCAAGAAAATGCAATATTATCAGAACTATCCACATACAAAGACATAATGGATAACGTAAGTCTTCCGGAAAAAGGTTCACGAGGTTAAATCACGACGTAGGCCGGCCTGATGGATTACTAACAAGCGTTTCGCGGTAGTACAAAGTTGCTGGATCTATGCTTTGTCAGATGGCTAGCGCTCTCATCCCACGTAGTACATAGTAGAGCATTTGATCATCAGGAAGTTTAAAGATAGCACTCTTACTTTAAGCCATTGAACCCACCCCCTTAGAATTTGTGGGACTAAAATTTTGCTTCTTGCTCCGTGGCCAGTCGTTCGGTGTTTGGAACTATGGGTATGGCAGTTACTAGATTTCCTTTTATACCTCGTGTTGCTCTCAAGGGACCTTTGTAGCAATTTATCTCAAGACTCGCTTTCAAAGACTATCAGATTAAGTGAAAAGGGTAAGAAAGGGACAAGAAGGCCAACAGCTAAAATCCTGTAACCTGACGACAAAAAAATCCAACATAATTGCCTATCCAAGCAGATAGTTGGACAGTTTGAGAGAACACTGGCGTCGTCAACCTTATGGAGCTTCTCAAGGATGGAATAAAATAAATGATTTGAATTAATACGATATAAATCCATGAACATGTGGACAAGTTAAAATTTTGCTTTTTGCCGACTGCATCCGTCTCCAAACAAATGGAAGGAACTTCGTTGGCCTGAAGTGATGTATCAAGCCACGGCCAGGATGTTAGGCAGCTACGGCTCATTACATTTCATAACATGCTTTTCCTAGATAACGATATATGTTGAAGCTATGATGATTCCTAACACCGACTTTCTATTAACCTCTCCTTTGATCAGAAAATTCACTATATTTTTACAGAGCAGAAGCGAGGTGTTAATTTATTCCCTATTATTAGAAAACAGCCGTTTGGTCGATTTTGTCCTCTGCGAAGTCTCGAACGGTCAAGTTAACTGCACTCTACTCATAAAATAGCCAAACACCTCCATAACCAAACAGAGAAAATGTTAAACCGAGATTTCGAACATGTTGAGCAGGAAATAATTTCTTCGCACAATCACTGCTTTCTATGAGTCTTCCACTGAGTATTTCACGTGGTGACCAACCGAGCAGGGTTGACATGGAAGTTCAGTGTACCTCATTTACATCAAAAGAGCAGTCATAAATTTTGGGTGGGGTCACGTATGATAACGAAGTATTCATTCCTGCGTTTCATTTTTGGATGTCCAAAACGCTTCGAGAGTTTTGTGCTCTAAAGTTTTCGTTTCCTGCGCGGGTATGGTAACCTCTAAATCTAATTCTTCTCAGTTATGTATCTGTGTTCTATGTGCGCCTTGTGGATTGTCTGGTTACAATTTAAATTTACCGACAAAATGTTCTTTTACACGGACGCATAGTGCTCCACACGGTTGACCAAAGTATTCGTCCTCACAGGCTTTACAGTGGATCAGATAAACCCTACCAAAACTCATGCGATCATAGTCTCTACTGTTAGGGCATATTAGGCAAATTTGCGTTCTACACAGATGGTCATACACACAGTTGCAAGGTAGCTGGCGGCCTACAATGATCGGTGGTATTTCTATCACTGTTATCCAATTCTCTTGACCCGCACTTCTTAAGTAACACTTGGCAGTTATGCAACATTTTGTGTCTGCGCTTTATTTGAAATAGAGGGCTGGATTAGCGGGACCTTATTATCGTTTCTTGAATTTTCCTCTACACCTATTCGGAGGAGCTAGTTTGTATCCACTGAGAATGTATTTGCCGCGTCAATTTCGGGAATACCTTCTTCTTTTCTTTTCTTGTGCACGCACTGGAGGCTGTTCGAAACATGTCTCTTGCAAGCGCCCTTTTCTTTGTTTAGAAGTCTGGCCATTTCATTTGCGTCTAAAGTTTAGACCAAAGCTCTACTGCTGATATATAGATAATTGTTTGGTATTTGCTCCATACAAGAGGAATTGGGCAAATGTTTTTGGTTATTGAATGAACACTCAAAGTACATTAAGTTTACCCGGAAGAAACCGAGAGAAAACTGGCTTCCGTTTCTGCACGTTTAAATTATCTTATCCGAAAGCAGCCACATCATGAAGTGATACCGAAAGCGAAGTAATAAAAACGTAGCTGTTTATTACCCTTCCTCTCACGCCTTACGCATAAAAAGTGCGCTTTTAGGAAATATCCTTCGAACAGCCATCAGTGTGTGTACAGGAAGAGAATAGATGGAAGAGTTCCTGAAAGTGGCATGACAAATAGCCATTTCCAAAGGCTACGAGTCTATGGCTCATCGGGATAAGTTTGGAGTAAAAAAAGCTTTTAAGCCATAGCTCCAGAAAGAACAAGGTTCTGTTCATTCGGCCGTTCATTTCAAACAAAATAAAGGCAGCTCTAACACGTCGCTTAGGAGGGGCGGTTCGGCAACAGCGATTGAAATGCCGCCAAGCACTTAGCCAGCTAGTTGGCAACTGCCTGCACGGTCGTCTATGTGCATTGCAAAATTGCATAAAATGCCCTATCGGTGGAAATGATGGTAGCAGAAGCTCGGATACAGCCTATCTAATCTCTTATAAAGCATGCAGAGACGAATACATTGGTGAAAAATGCCTTGTGCCCATATGAAAGAACAACTGGTCAGTAAATTCAAACTGTGACCAAGCACTCTACTAGGCGGGCATTGGACACAGAAACATAACGGAGAAGATTTTCAGTCAGAACTTACCATACCTGCACAGAAAACGAGAACATCTGCGCGCAAAACTCTTGAAGACTTTAGGATAATTTTTAAGAATTGAGAAGTGATCCGCAAAGAGGAATGCCTCGCTACCATGCGTAATCTCACACTTTATTTAAGACTGATTTTCTAGTGTGAGAGAGGCACATTGCACTTACATGTGAACTCTGCACGGGTTCGGCGCCACTCGTAATGTGGAATGTGGTGAGGGTGCGAAGGATCCATTTTTTTTTCGATGCGACTAGAATCTTGGTTTAGTATTTTCTCTGCCTGCTTATAGAGGTGTTTGCCTAGGTAGATTCCGCTTAACCTGACTTTTCGAGGCTTTGAGGAGGGCGATATCCGCCGAAGCGGGAGCTTTTCTATTAATAAAGAATAAATTGACACTTTATTTTTGCTCAAGAAGAATACAGTGAACGACCACATGCTGCACTATTGGTATTGCTCTTATTCTTAATTGACTTATCTGCCTGTTCCGAATTTGCATATTGTGCGATCCCAGAACTCATTATCGAAGAATGTCTCCCGATTTGCGTGTGGATTCACTACTTAACGACTCTTTCTTTGTGAATCTCGTTGAATGCTGATAGAGTAGATTTCTCCCTTGAATCTTGCAGTAGTTGTGAAAGTAGCTCGCAGCTTTTCACCACGGACATTCGCTGGATTTGTAGATAGGAAATCGAAAGTGTAACATAAGAGGTTTATTTTCGAGAAGCAGGTTCTGTGGCGAAGTTTTATGACCCTTTCTGGCCATGGACGAGTTTTCTGGAATGGTTCTGTCTCTGTTCACAGAAATCACTTTCTCTTTCGTTCTTTGTCATTCATACCAATCGTTTCTGAATTTTTTTCAACATGTCGACTTCAGATTGTGAAGGAATTTGATGCACAACTGAGCGAATACCAAATGATTCTGCTTGATTTTACAAGAAGAAATGTATGTAAACATTTTTGTTGTCTATAACGAAAGGGCTTCTATGCAAACAAAAATCATCAGTGCCAGTTTTGCAGGATTACATTGAAGAGTCAACGAAATACATTCCAATCGTTCTTGTGCTTCCATTGATTCTTGTCATTTTGTCCGTTATTGGATTGATGTCTTTGTTTTTAAGGTAAGTATAATAGACAATAAAAAGCTTACTAACTGCTAAAAAATGTCAGAAGTTGCTTATACTGTAGTCCACCCTCCATCGTAAACACCTTAAGTACTCTTTTGGCCTTCGACAGCTTTTGTTTCGTCATCTTTTTTCTAACACACTTCTTTTTCTTGTTTTTCCCGTTTTTTTTTTAAAATAACTCTCGGAGGGCTCATGTAAAGATTCTAAAGCTAGTATAATGCTAGATGTGTTTCTCGTTGGAATTCTTCTTGCCATCTTCTAGCCATTAGGCCATCGGGCCTTGCAGCGGTTCTGATACTCTTCTCCATCCAGTTCGAGTTCAAACAATGCGATTACGACGCTACTGTTAGATTTGGTTAAGTTCAGTGGGCACCAGTAAAATCCATATTTGTAATCCTTCACAGACGAGGCACCTAGTGGTCCTTGCTCTCTTAGAGGATGTGGAAGACTCCACTGCTTTTCTCATCAAGTCATTTTTTCGATTTTTGCTAAGAAAGCACTTAAGTACCTTGATGGGCTTCGAAACTTGTCTGAACTGCAGTTCACATCCTTCTCCGTCAAAGGACCCATCTTGCTCTACGTCGCAGTTCGATAGTGGTCAATTTCGGCCTTGTTTTCTACTCACTCACTTCACTAAATCCTTGTAATTCTGGGTGATTCAAAAAAAGCTGGGCTTGTAGCGTTATATTTAGACTATTCTTACTTCAATTCTGTTTGGCTTTTAAATTCACATGTGGTCTCTGGTTCGGTACGACACTCAACCAACGTAATTTCGTACCTTTTTTAGGTCAAGAAATTTAAGAAAAAAAATTTAGGTCAAGAAGAAGAAATTAGCACAGCAGTTTTTAGAGGAACAAAAACACTGATTTTGTGATGTATCCACTACTCATTTAATTCCTATTCTTTTCATGATAGGGTGCTGTGTAAAGTGACAAGGAGAAAGCAAAAGCAAGAGCCTTGGTTGGTGTAGTGGATAGCAGGCGAGCTTCCGAAAAGGGTAATCGCAGGTTCAAAGCTCACCTGAAGTTCCCTCTTTTGCTCATATCAGAGCATTCTTGTCCTTGTACTTTAAATCGTAACCTGCCTCAAAAATAAACTATGTGATTTCGACTGCAGTTTCATCTTAGCTGGGTTCAACGCCGATCTGTGCTTCCTAGAGTATTCCCATTGAAGGGTGATCGCTGATAGCATCGACAAAGCAGAAAAAAAACTAGTTGAGAGGAAGGCAAAACAAAGGCGTCAGTTAATGCAGCGGATAACACGTGAACAGTGAAAGGGTAATCGCTTGTTCGACGCCACCGAGGTTCCGAGTTTTGCTCATATATCAGCACCATTGTGGTTATACATGTTACTTAATAGTTGAATAGCTCTCCTCACTGGTTGCGTGGGCCTCAGTATAATCTCCGTCTTTTCAGTGATTTTCTAGTTAAGCCATAGTCGTTTCCTGGAATCCCGAGGTTAGCCTGGGCAAAGTCTGCCCCAGGTCTTAAACACCACAGGCAGTCGCAGTCCTTGTGGATCAGAGGAAAATTTACCACCATGCGACTAATTTTATACCAGGATAGTGGTGGATCCCGATATTGGTTTACTCTTAGCTAGGCTTCCTGTTGGAAACGCCGAACTTCTTCTCAGCTTGGAAGCCCTGCTGGAGATGAATCCCCGGCTGTACATCGGAGCCCGGCAACCAGGAACACTTCCTAGCCACGATGAGGTGGTAAGCCGTTAAGAGGATTGTGGTTATACTTATCTTATATTTCTTTGTTCTTCGCGACTAATTATATAGAACGGATATGGATTCACCTACCGCCGCTCTACCTTACTGAGTCGAATGCTTGAAGGATGGCTATTTCACTCTTTTCCATTAACCCAAGTTGAATAAGCATTGGGGAGTGGGAAACCGGTGTAGCGCACTTTTCGAAGAAGACCGCTTTAGAATATGCAGAAATCGTTTTTTCAAACTATTTAAACATTGCACAAAATCTTAACTCTTTTATTTACTGCCTTTTTCTTCTTAATGGCAGGGTATGTTGTGAAATATAACTCATATGAAATGCTGAGATATCTGCAAAACTCCGGACCACAGGTGTATGCAATGGGGAACGAACACGCGCTGCTCCCCGGTAAGGACAACAGCGCGTGTTCGTTCCCCATTGCATACACCTGTGGTCCGGAGTTTTGCAGATATCTCAGCATTTCATACGAGTGATATTGTACAAAATATTTTTCGACTGTGTTTTTAGATGGCAGAGGCATTTTCTTGTTAATACCTGCCATCTGTCTTCTATGGCGACTTTATCTCTTTTTTGTTCATTATAAACACATTTCAGATACCTGGGAAATTTCTGCAGTGATGACGCTGACGAACAGTTTCCAATACGAAGTGCCGTTTCCGACATTGGTGCAAGAATTCTTGACCTTGGCGGCTACATAGCCTTATTTGTTAGCTCGATTCTATTCCTCATGGTTGCGTAAGTCCGTATCGATTCCAGAAAACTAATCATTGTAAAGGAACTCTTCCATTTAATGAGATTTGGACGGGTTTGCCATGATGGCTGTTGAAACCTAGGTGATATACAAATATGGCGCAGCGGTTGGAGGTTCACTGTAATCCACTAATAGGCGCTGCTCCAATCCTTTCCGTACTACGAGATAGCTAGATCCTTCCGAAATTCAGAAATGAGTACCAGACTAGAGTGGTAAAACCAACCAAACCACGCGCTTTATATAACGGTGACTCCCATATTTAACTACGTAACCCGTACCGCATTCCTAAGGGATAGATCAGCGCCAAAATTTTGTCCTCCACTTCTAATCTCAGATGGCAAGTCGATAGCTGAATTTAGGAGAAATGCGACTATGCAAATATTGTTAGAAAAAGAGAGGATTCAGAAGATGGGTTTCCGTCCCAGTTGGTCTGGACTGATTTATATTTATCGCGTATACGTAAACATGTCGTGCACAACCGAGCCGATAAGCTTGGGCTCATGTGCTTCCCATGCTTCACCTAGGTTCGGCTGGAATCTTAAGGGCGAAGCTTTTTAGAGGCCATGAAGGTATCTTCCCACAAAATAAATATACCTGACAGTTGTTGTGTATTATCCTGTTTTCATTAAGTAATTTGGAGTAGTTTCAGGTTATGCTTTGTGTTGGCATTTGTGTCGATGTTTCTGTGCGTGGGACTATTTGAAGATCACGATTTACGACTACTTAGCACGCTGCCAAGAAATGAGTTTGCAGTGGATCTCGGAAAGGAGAAAATACGTTTCCTACTTTAGTGAGTTACCAATATTGGGTACTTTGGTAATTTTTCGAACTTCGGTAGTGAGGAATATATTCAAGCAGCCCACTAAAAATTGTCCCCCGACAATCAAGATCATATTGTACTCTGGCTATAAAAAGCATATACGATTAAATTAGATCGATTGTTATCGATCAAAAAAAGAACTTTGGGAATGCAAAGCGTTGTTGATCGTAGAGGCGATGGTAATGGCAATAATAGTTATGTTACTGATGATTATAATAACAATGACAGTGGAAGGTTTCCAGTGCAGCTCTACTTTTCGAGTAATAAAAAAAGCATGAGGCTCTCGGCGTTGATCAATCCCTGGAGGATGCCCCAGGCATTCGACTTCATCATGCATCGTTTAGAGGTGATTGAATGCATATCTGGCCTTTACAGTGACTCGCAGTGGCCTACTGATGTATCGAGCCAGTGCTACTATCCTTCCAGACAAGTCTGGTACCAATTTGCCGACAATGGAGAGATGGAAGGCTGATGTGTCATGGGCGCTGGGATCAATTCCACGTGTGTGTTGCAGGGCACCTCCGAGCACTGCGCGACATGCGCCCCTCTATTACTCGGGTAGCTCGGACAAGTTAAAAGACCTTGCGAAACGAATTCCCTCTTCGAAGCTTTATCAGAAAAACAAACTTGCTGACAATCGTATTTAATGACCATATCTAACAGCAATTAGGCAGGTGAGAGCCGCCGTGACGAGAACATCGAGTGTTCGAAATAATTTCTGAAGAGCTTAAATAATACTGGTTACAATTGGCTAGGGATATTTGATATGATTTCAGTGAAATTTTGTACAAATGCAAAAATGGTTTCTCATTTTTTGACGCTATCGATGGTGATCAGATATGGGCACGAAAGGAGATGGGAGGGGTAGGAAAGTTATAGTTGAACTGAGATTTCTGGTGTTCTCTCATGCTGTTTTTCATGTTGTACAGTTTTCTTCAGAAACTCACTGCATTGAGAAGAAAGAGCTTTCGTCGTCGACTTCGAAATTTCTATGTGGACTATCAACTTGTAGATGATGTTAATAAAAGAATTGTGGACTTAAAGGTGCTGTGGTTTTTTTCCCGATCTAAATCAATTGAAAACATCACGACTTTCAGAAAGCAGCTTGTTAATTCAATTGTTCACAAGTGGGAACGGTTTTTAATTCTCTTCTTGTCGAAAAATGTGTTCTTGCTGGTCTCCGTTGTCTTCTCAGTGAGCTGGAAAACGCCTTAGTTCTGCTCGACAGCAAATAGAATTTAAAAAACTCTCCAGGCTAATCAATCCTTGAGGGATGCGCCATGCATTCAACTTCATTAAGCAACGTTTAGAGGTGATTAAATGCATATCTCGCCTTTAGAATGGCTCGCCGTGGCTTACTGATGTATCGGGCCAGTCTGCTACTCTCCCAGACAAGTCTGATATCAATTTACCGACCCGTGAATTATCAAAGACTTGGTAGGCTATGGGCGGCATGGGAATAGATTCCACGTGTGTGTTGCAGGACTCCTCCGACCACTGCTCCACACGCGACCTCAGCAAATACAGTATGAAGCTTTATTATTATAGATGAATACAAACCGGCGATTAACATTAAAATGTTCAATGTTGAGGCAAATAAATGTTATTGAGCGCAAAATCTCTGTGAATCCCGTACATCCCGTAAATACTTCGTTAAGGCATAGTCTTTGCGAATGAAAGTAATAACTTCATACCTCTAGTGCCTACCCACTTGCATGATGATTGTCAAACTGATTCCGTTGTCCCTCATAAAGTTTCCATTAAAACCCTAAGGCAAAGTTGGTCAGTGGTTTTTTGTTCTATCGAAATGGTAAGGAACAATGTTGTTCTTCTTTCTGTGAAGTTAGCCTGATCGATAAAGATTCTTACAAATCTTTATGAACGTCTTGATGAGATTTTTCTTCCAATGGGAAATATCTTCAGAATTTGCCGAAAGAATTTAATGTCGCTCTTCATACCCTTCGAGATGGTAAGTTTTTTTTTACAAGATAAGTTCACAACCTCACAAGTTACTAGGATTGTAACAGAGTTCTTACAGAATAACTAACTATTAAGATTGTAAAGACATATGTGTGGATATATGGAAAATGTTAAATTTTTTTATTAACTGTTTAATACAATTTTTCACAGCGGAGTGTTTTATAAAATTTAACCGCAATGATGCTGAGATATTTTTAAAACTGAGGACCGCAGGTGTCTGCAGTGAGAATCGAACCCATACTTACGTGTTCACCACCACACCATGCAGGACCTTCATTTCGTCTTTCTCTGAACTAGTTTTCTATCTAACAGTGCCATCAGCAATCACCGGTAAACTGGACTGATCAGTTTCTCATGATGTGGTGATGATTACGCTAGTCCTCAGAAAGGGTGATACCGGTCTCGATCCTCATCGCGGACACCTGCAATCAGCAGTTTTGCAAATACCTCAACGTCATTGTGGTTGAATTCCATATAATGTGCTGCCTTGAAAATTTGTAGTAGGAGGTAAATAAAAGGGTTAACATTGTGATTTCGACTACAGCCCCAGCTTAAGTGGGTTCAATGCCAGTTTTTGTTCCCCAGATCAATTTCGTTGACTAGTGCTTGCTAATGGCACTGTTAGACAGAAAACTAGTTGAGATAAATGCGGCAAAAAGGACTCGCATGTTGTGGTGGTAAGTACATTCCCACGAGAAGGGTGACAACGTTTTTGATTCCACCGTAGACACTTGCGTTCAGGCGTTTTGCAAATATTTAAGCATCATTGTGGTTGAGTTTCGTATATGAAGTATAGTTTAGTCGTTGAAACTATCATTAATATTGTACATTTCAAACATAAGTATGAAATAATTGAACTTGAATATAAATTAGGTGAGAGTATTGAAAGAAAACGTATTTTTAATACTGATACTGAGTAGTTTTTATTTGTGGGTGCAAGAAAGGCAAGGCAAAGCCATCATTCGGTAGCACCAGAGCCCTAAAAAGTGTAATCACGGATTCGAATCTGGCCTGTGGTCCAGTTTTGCAAATGACTCAGCATCACTTGTATTTCGCATAATACACTGGTATAAAAATTAGTAGGCAGTAAATAAAAAGTTAAACATTTTTTGTTTACAAATATAGATATAACAAAACAAAGTGTACATGAGCCAAATATGACTCGCAACGGTGACCGTGCAGTGTCTTTTGAATGAAATCCGTGTTTCACATTAATTGAAAACCAATAGCTCTTATGTTATTCTCGAAAAACCTCGTCAATAACCCTGAAAACAGTAAATCAGGGAAATCAGATTTTTCATCATGAATTTGACCAAGGTTAGAAATTATTTACAGGTGTCGTTGTTAGACAAATCGTTGAACAAGTGGTTAACAACACTAAACAACTTGAGTTGGAATTAATAAAGTTTCAAAAAATGGTGGAAAGGGCTTTTCATTTTTTCTTTTCCATTTTTTCTTTTTTTTTGTTTTTTTTTGTGATGGCTTCAAGCGAACTGCTGCCCATCAGCGGATATCTCCCAGTTCAGATATCCCTTCTGAGCTCAAGAAGTAGGAGAGACAAATTTTCGAAAGAAGTTCAAACACAACTCGACATAATGGAAACGGTCATCATAAGTTCTGTAGCTAAACTATGGGTAAGAACTACGACTTCACAACAAATATCCATGATCTTCGTGTTTGCGATAAACAATTAGGACAGTTTAGAACGTAGAGTGCTGAAAGCGCAGTAGTTGAAGACGCTCTACCATGCGTACATATTCACTGGCTTAGCATTTGTACTAGAAAATCGGGTTAGGTCCGTCTAATCCAGTGTCAGATTGGCTTCAGACCATGGTATGTCTTTATAATCGATGAAGTTTTTAACTACATGTGATAAGCCCATCGTAACGTTTTGACAAATTTATTCAAAAATTCCAGTAGAGAATCGACTTCGCCAGCACTCACCCACACTCGTAGAGAAGGGAGAGCCTTTAAATTGCATCTGAATCCACATGCAAACCCAAAGACTTTGTTCAAGGATCCTGCAAGCGAAGAATCGAATTACTAAAATCTGTAGAATATTACTCTCTTGCTCGTATACGTTCAATTGCTGCTGAAACTACAATAAAAAGCAACTTGAATAGTGTGCTACAAATCATGTCAAGTCACCCATCATTCGGAAGCCTAACTTCTTACATTGCCATGACTGTTACATAAGTACACAGCTGGCGATCTATTAGGAACCATCCAGTATTTCGAGCACACACCGATGAGCTCTCCGGTCGTCCTCGCTGCTCATTAAAGCTCGCTGATGGACCTAGTTTGGTCAACGGACAAAAATAGCCTGTGTCATAATTTTCGCATGATACGTTATATATTCACTGCTTCTGACGACAATGCAGCAGCAAGAGAAAGACATTGTTCTTCAAGTATGGGAGTGAAATAGCCCTTTCAAGTTTTCGTTGTAAATTTTCAGTATTCGTTGGTTTTAGAGAGTAATGAATGATCTCTCCCCCAAGTGCGAATCATTAATGTCGATATGGAACAATATCGGATTCTACTTATGTAACGTTATCGCTGTACCAGCGCAGGGCTTGTGGGTTGCGTGTTGTAAGTGTTTTCAATAGAAATAGATGACAGATTTTTCATTTTAAAGCAATTACTTCTGAACAGACTGGGTCAAAGTTGTTTCAGAGAGATGAGTTCATTGATCCAAATCCTTGGTAGATGGTGACTAGAGCTACTCATTTTGTTCGCAACAGATTTTTCAAGCCTTTTGATTCTAAGCTGAATCAGCACTAGCAACGTATTCTAAGTTGAAAGCTGTTTTTATCGATTCCATAAAAAGTTTGCATGAAAAATAGAAACTGGGCTAAAAAATTTGGTTGAACTAACATTTTATTGAGGATTTTTGATGTTCTTAGTCATGAGTGATTCCACTGCTGCGTAAAGAGTTAAGCCGTAGCTTAAGGATCAGCCGTCTTCCCTCGTCAGTGGCATGTTGAGTACTTATTGAACGTGGTTTTTTTTTAATGAAATCTATAGATGTCGCTGCTAGACCATTCCAAGCATTCACCAAAGACCTTCTGCCATTTTGGATCAGAGGCTTAATATTTCCCACTAGAATTTCTCTGGAAAAGAAGCGATTTTTGACATTATTCGAACGAACGATAGAGTTGCGACGTTGCAGGCCAAATCCAGTGAGTTGGTGAACTTTTGAGTTATGAAAACGAATAGTGTTGTATACTGTTCTATGCCGAAACGCTGGTAATAATAGAACAGATTGGACCTCAATGTGCTTTAGAAGGTGGATGCTAGCCGTAATGACAACGATTAATTTCTTTGATGTCATTGTACTTCAACGACACCCAGATAGATACTTTAAAAAGGGATAAAGCTTTTGGCGTTGATCAATCCCTGAAGGATGCGCCATGCAATAGACTTCATTAAGCATCGTTTGGAGGAGATTGAATGCATATCTAGCCTTTACGGTAGCTCTTGGTGGCCTACTGATCTATCGAGCCAATGCTGCTATCCTCTGAGACAACTCTGGTACCAATTTGGCGACCCCGGAGGGATGGAGCTGATCCCATGTGTATTGCTGGGCGCCTCCGACCACTGCTCCACAATCGTTAGATGCGTAAGATATTGAAATTTCTTGATGTCTTTGACGATTTACCAGTGCTTGAAAAGAGAGTCCCACCTCTCATTTTATTCAGTGGAAAACTTCATTCTCGTTTCTTCGTTATGAATTGTTCGCCCAACGAAGTGAATGAAATATAGAACACTACTGCCCTTGTAAGACGTGTACATGATACCGGTTCTCCAGTGATTTTTGAGTCTCATATTGGCCCAAATTTAATGATTTCGATAGGGTGCGGTACAAACAAATCATTGAGGCAAACCGCCGCAAACGTAAGTTGTCAGTCTTGAGAAGATCGCCTATTTCGTTTCTTGTTTTTGAGTGATTTGTCTTTAGCCTAAAATGAGGAGGATCAACTTTATACCACCTTTACAGTATCACCATTGGCGATGAAAGTCTTTTCACATAGACAACAGCTTTCTTTAGTTCACAATTTCCTATGAAATCATCAAAATGTAGAACCATTCGAAAACCTTCTTTGTCGGTTTTAATGGGAAACAGAGTCTGCTA